CCACCAAAGCAGGCAATTTCTATATAAAGTAGGTGTAAAGGAATAAAATTGCAGGCTTTGTTAATTACTTAAATTAGATGTTGGAAAACACAATTTATAGGAATATTTATAAAAAAGGGTTTTTATCAATAGACTGATAATTAAACTCTTCAACAACTTGATCCGTAGACTTGACGATGTTAATGGATTTGACTTATAGGATGGACTTTGGTTCAGATCTTCAAACTGTCTAATCAGCATTCTTTTCCTCGTTTTTGGTGCTGATGAGACCCAGGCAAAGTTGAAAATGCAATCCATCCTGAGTGAGAATATAGACAAGTCATGGTTAGTATGAGTAATTCGTTCCTTGAAAGCGTCGTCTTATTAAAATAATAATATTAGAAGCAATTATAAAATATAAAGTCATATAAATGGTGCTATCCTTCTTATAAAGCTGAATAAAAAAATGTGTTACATTTTATTCTCATTTTCTTAAGGATTAAAGCTAATTCTAACATGATGAACTTGTATTTGATTTTTAAAACGTTCACACCAATCAGTGCCTGCAGTAACTTTTCTAAAGTCGTCCCTTGATTCCCGTTTAATTTCACTGCTTTAAGAGTGCTTACAGTTTCGGTTTAAATTATTGCTCTGCTCAGGGGAATTCGTGCCGATCCATCACTAGCATTGTTTCTATCTATCACAAGATGTATTTTTCTAACCGCGTAAAGTTGGTACCGCTTCACATTTTTCCTTTATTTCATCTGAGTCTATCAAAGTATTCCGAACCATTGCTTCCTGCATTCCAACAAAGCTGCTAATTTTAGAATCGCTATCACCAAGTTTTTGTCTTTTATTACATTAAATCTTTGCTTTAATGTAATCACCAATCGCCTCCCTTTTTCATTTTCAATATTCACTTCAATATTCATCCCCTTGTCCATATTTATCGAGGGACTGTTATAGACTTTTAACAAACTTTACTGTAAAAACAACTGCATAATGTGACTAACATGGTAATAGTCTAGCGATTTCTGATGCATCTGCTCCACTGTCCTGTAACCATGAATACTAGCAACTAAATTTTGGCCAACATTACATGTTACCTTATGTCAATTTATACCTCGTTCCGAATCGAATTTCACACTAATCGAACTCTTATTAATCGCGATTGCCTGTACCTGTTAGGAGACAAACATCAATACACTTCATTGGCTTTTGATAGGTCTACTGTTGTCATTGCGAAAAAATTCAACTATCAGTCCTTCCTCTTGTTATGCCATTTAGTGAAGGTCTACGAATAGTCTCAAAATCTATTTATTATGATTATTAATTCACCAATTTATTTACTAGTTCATCATTCTTTTTGGAAAGGCATGACTTTTTAGTCTGAGATTAAAATTATCTAACTAGTTCACTATAAATCCATAATGATATATCTATACATCTTTTTTAATTTTTGTTAGATTTCATTATAGGTGTCTTTTTGTATTCAAGTTTGAAGCCATTCAGCCCTCTTGAACTTTGTTTTGCTCAAAGTTTTTGCAATTGTTTATGATCTCTGTTGTATGACAGACAAATTTTCATCCAATTCTCGCTTCTATTCTTGATAGATGCCTCATAGACCCCAGAGTACAGGGAATCAGCCGCCGTCCTATAGCGAGATCCTCATGCACGAATCTCTTCGCCAGACAGCTTTGCAATAAATGGAAATCATCACTTGAAGCTTGCTTAATGAGATTCATCAAATCCCAGTTTTAGTATTTATAGGTCTTTGTAAGAAATCTGAGTTCATTGTGATTTGGTATGGATATAAATTGTATCTGTGCTGGCGAATAGCAGAGAAATAACCACGTGAAAGGTAAAAATTACTTATGCTATGTCAGAACTTTTAGAGAGGAATCATCTTTATTTTTTATTTTTTCTTCAAGCTATTAACAATTAACAATTTTGATTTTATCTATACATTTTAATCTTTTTTGAGCGATTAAAGTTAGATAAAATTTTATTCATTTTGGCTTTTCATTTGTCACATTTGTTGCCCGGTTGGAAAGAACTTGAATATGGCATGCGTCAGCTGCTCTTTGAGGCCGTCAACCTCATCAAACCAGACGAAAATGGTCTCCTACCGACTGAAGCTCCTCGAGCCTTTTCTATGCCCACATGGCGTAATCCCCTCTCTAGCTTAGGACTTGTAGATCCTTATGTACCATCGGCACGTGTTGCTCGGCTTCTTCTACACTTGTCCGTTGGGAAGATGGGCTCGGCCGACGAAGCATCCTCTCTTGGAACCACGCCCCGGAGCCAGCTTGAGCTTGAAGAAGAGCCTTGCAAGGATATGAATTTGAGGCCCGGTCGGCCAGATGAAGACAGCCATGGCGAAGTGTTCATAGTTAAGGGTGAGTCTTAGGAATGAGAAGAGCGAAAGTCACAAGTGAGTCAGTGATAACAATGTTTCAGAATGAAGCCCACCAAGTTTAATTGGAATCAGGGTAACTGCTTGCCAGTATGTGCTTAAAAATCTAAAAATTCGTAAATATTTCTTCTCCAGATTGCTTAGTCCTAAAGACAGAGCTATGGGCAAAAGAAGTAAACTGGTCTAAATAATCTGGATGACCAGTTTTACACGAACCCGTGATTATTTTGACCAACTGTTACCAGAAGAAATGTATTTAATTTACTGAAATTATGAGGTATCAATCTGTCAAAGCAACACTAATGCATTGTATAGTTCCTAAAGTTTACGGGCTTTCTAATCCTGAAATGTATAAATGTAAAATTCTAGGATACTTATCAATGATATCTTAAATAAATCCACCACCTCTGATAAGTAGAACTTACTACTTATTCTTAACTAAAAGCAACTATTTTGCAGACGGCGTTCAGGAATGTTAATGTTTCGCTATCTTAACTCTGCAAGGTATAATTCACAAAGTTGATAATCCGCCCTAGAAAAGATTTATTAATACGTCGAAATTGCTTGAAAGCTCCGATTTAACAGTCATTAAAATGAATGGAATGAATGGTGAAGATGACGAGAGCTAAAATTTATATCTTAATAATTCAAAAAATTGGGCTGCAAACTACCAGTTTGCATTATTTAAAGGTGTTTACTCTGCGAAACTATTTACGGATCATTTTTCTTTCTACATAAAAATGTAAGAGGCTGAAATTATGGGCAAATCATTCTTCCCTCCTCTGAGGGATGAAGGAGCTGGAATTAAATGCACACAAAGGAGCTTATACAAATAGTTTCAGTCCTCAATAATCAGTTTATAACCCCTTCGTGAGTACCTATTTATGTGTTTTCAGGACAGGTAATTAGAAGAATCTTGTCTTGCAGTTGGAAGAGTGGAATTTATTTTTCTTTCATCGTGTGAGAAGGTATCTTATCTATCCTTCTTTCATTACTCTGTCTGAACGCCACGATTTGAGCATATATAAAATTGTTTCCTAATCTGGCACTTGTCTTCTAGCGCTGTGGTGCATCTAATCGGCATTCGAATCGGTCCATTTGAGCTTTTTAGCCATTGCGGGGAAAAAAGAAATCGCCATTTCATAGACTCACTAATAAGCAAATCCTACTTCAGCACATGAATATTCTGTTTGCATAAATCTTTCTCTGGTGCTACGCCTATAAAGCTGCCTCACGAAACAGTCCACTTATAGCATCAATGCCATCTTTTCTTTCATTTTATCTTATTTGTTCAGTGCAAAACACTTATGCCGCAAATTGCATCGAAATTATTGAATATACCAAAGTGATTTAAACTGTTCATTTGGCATTTGATACAAAGTAACAAGTTTCTATTTGCCATTGGCCTCGTAATCAGGATGGCAACTGCTGATTTTTGTACTATCGTTGACCAGTACATGCATATCTTCCAGTCGGCCAGGACATCCAGGACAACGCTGAAGGCGCTGCTGGGAGAGTCCTTTTGTGGTTCATGGCACAGGGTCATATACACTGACAGGTAGACAGAAACAGGACTTACAAGGGATAATAGTTTTTCAACACATAAATGGGGCGGGAGATCAAAATTGGCTTAGGGATAAATGATTTGCATATTTTTGTGTCAATTTCAATTAAATCGTCAGTACGCTGCTTGTTAATCTAGCAAGCACTCTCCAGCTCTGACCGTGTGAGGTTAAGCAGAAATACGGTAAAGCTGATTCAATGAGTATCACGTCAGATGAGTGTAGGTAAGAAAAATAAAAATGTGTTTTATTATCACATCGTGTTTTCAACTTAACGACAAAACCAGCATTTTTGAGAATGACGACAAATCCTTTTTTACAAGACAGAGATGATGATCAGCTAGAACAATGCAGGCTTGGACAGGATGACTAAAAATGCTTTTAATAATGCTTTCACACGGTAAAACAAGTGTTACTGCTAACACTTCTACAGATACAGCTAGTCCGGAGACCTGATGCTATGCAAGTTGCATAATGCATTTGCCGTGCTTTGGGAGAAAGAGAATAAAACATAGGTTTTTCTATTGTATGAAATTATATAATAAAAATGTATTATAATTTATTTATAAACCAAGCTCATACAGTGTTAAAATCTGTTCTAATGAGCTATATAAGCTTCGTAGAGCCAATTCCACGAAATATTTACTGTGAAAGTCTTCAATTTCTGAAGCAATGAGGGTAGAGGGAGTAGTATAGTCCGATACAGATGGGCCTGAATTGTCACTAATTGTTGTATAGAGAAGGTCAACTTGTGTGCAATTGTAAATATCATCCCCTGAAATGCTTTTTCTCCTATTCTTAGCATCTCTAAGTGAAAATCTCAACATACCTCAGAAATATATGAAGACCAAGATGTTGTGGCCTCTGCTAGGGTCGTAGTCTCCTGTCGATTTATATAAATGGGTTGGCCTCGTTATCGCAATTTGGTCTTGTTGTCAGGGCGACTTAGTAGAACGCTCCTAGTCCGAAGTCGTCTGCCATAGTAGTTGTCATGATTCCAAGCATCTGACAGTGGACTTGGTACATTCTCGACCAATGTTCTGCCGAGAATAGCAGCACTAACTGATGCTGCCGACTACGATGCCGGCGAAACGTTTGAGAATGTACCAAGTCCACTGTCTGATGCT